TTTTTTTTTTTTTTTTTTTGAGAAATCTTCAAATATTGATGTGTAAACTTGTATATATCTAAAAAAAACAAACATAGTGATTTAGTTACAGTTGATCATTAAACTCTTACCTTGTTTGGCTCCTTAAACAAAAGTTAGCAATGAAAGTTTGTATTCTGAATGAGGAAGACGTTGGGACAACCTGCTGCCTTACTGATCATTTTACTCATGTTGGTTAAAACTTATTGTAGCCATCTAAACTTTCATCTGTGAGATATTTAAGGGATTTCAGGCAGCCTGTTTCAAAGGTCCAGTTCTACATCATCTCTATTTTGTTCATTAATTAATTCATTTTTTTTACGAATGAGGTCACAATTTCCTCAACCACCCTGTTATACACAGTGAAATCGGAGTTTCATTATTTCATGCCTAAACTCTTCTTATGCTTTCATACACATGGAAAACCTCCTTGAGTAATTATGTTCTGACCATTTACTCCTGACATGATGCTCCTGTGAGATTTAGCCATTTCAAGTGGCAATAAATGTGGATGTTTCCTATTTATATTTTACTCCTCACCAGAAATTACATTTGTATTTTTTTTTAAAGGTATTCTGTCATTTGAGCATTTATATTGGGTTTCTGATTTTTAGAATCTTTAAATATATTGGCGTCCAAATACAGGTATATAAATATATATTTATTTTGCTTTGTTTTTTGCACCCGTTCTCAGACATTCCCTACGTGCTGAAGCTGGAGTCCCATCCTCACACCACATGCTGGCCGGGCCAGTGCCTCTACTTCATGGCTCCCAGCTTCCCTGACAAGCAGCGCTGGGTGGCAGTGCTGGAGTCTGTCGTGGTCGGTAGCCGCGGGTCTAAAGACAGAGCAGAAACTGAGGCGGTAAGTGTAATTTTGTCATTTAAGTATAAGTTTAAATATTCATACATTATTTTTAAGATTTTGTGCTGCTCAATATGTAAATACTTTTGTAAACGACAGGTGTGAAACCAGTCCTTGGTTTCTTAATATTAGACCAATTTTAACCAAATCCAAAGATCTTAGTCTTGTTTGGGGCAAAATTTGAAAAAAATGAATTAAGATGCTTTTTATTCCTCATCAGCCCAGCATCTTCACTTCTTTTTTTCTCTCCTTTCTCTCTCTCTCTTCTCTTTGCATGTGTTCAATATTTTCATCCTGTACCTATTTGTTGTCCTCCTCTGTGAATAAATTGGTTGGTACATGTGTGACTGCGATCGTGTGTGTGCGTTTATCTCCATTCAACCTGGTTATGTGGATCATGTTATAGGCAGGCGTTTCTAAAAGACAGAAGAACCTATCACCTCTGGTTCAGGTACAGTAAGTGGCTGCACGAACGCTTGGGCTTCAGTCGTCCGTCCGACTGAGCATGTGTCAGCTGTTCCCAATATTCATTAAAACTGTGTGCACGATAGTTGAGGTCAGCACAGTCCAGGGTCACTTACTCAATATGGTTGACCAGAACAGATGCCTTCGAAAAAACAGTCGTACGTCATACGTTTTCAGTGATATAAACCACATTAACGCATGGACACGAACATGCTGCGGCAGACATTTTAGCGTATGCTGTGCTGCATGCTCCTGCAAAAGCTGTGCTAAAGCCCTTTTTGGTAAACCACGACATGATCGGTTTTTGCAACAGCAGATATCATGGGCTGGTGCTTGTTCCTTTCTTTCTGTTTTTTGCAACATTTCCTCCCATCTTCTGCTTTCTTTGTAATGCTAGCTTAGCTCTGAATTGTTTCAGCTTCTCTCCAAATACGGCGCCCCTGCCTCTACTTCCTGTGTCTAAACATTACATTTCTGTTACCTTCTAACCTCTACTATCAAACTGTTGTGTTCACAGCCAAATAAAAAAAACTGAAAGAAGAGTTATAACAGTTCCAAGTAAAAATGAAATAAATCTAGATTTTGCTATAATTGTTTTTTTCCCCCCCCATAAGTTACTCTTATGAATTTGGCTTCATAAGACTAACTTATGCTGAAGTTAGTCTTATGTTTCTAACTTTAACATAAGACTTGTGACATCAAGTTCTAAATTTACTGATTTGTTGATCAAGGTTGGAGCTATTGCTAAATAACACACTGGGATAAGAACATTCACCCACAGCTTTGTAGTTTGTGCAAAACTGAGGCTTTTACCAGAGTCGACTGCCAAATTAAAAGCTACACAACTGGAGTGATTAGCAATTGGCATGTTTAGCATTACTCTAACAACTGTTTCTGTTTGAGAAAGTACAGGAACAAACTGAAAAGACTTGCCTTAACCAAGATTTTCACATTGCTAACATTTCCAAATTCAGTATCCGTCATGTGAAACAGAGGTTTAGAGCTCAAAACAAAGTAACTTTGCTGTGTTGTGTTTAACCTTCCTGGTACCTGCTGAAAGCTTTCAACTCTCTCACAGCCTAAATGACCCACAGGGAGGTCTAAGAATATCATTAAAAAATACAGAGTAGCTTTTTTTTTTTTTTTTAATCTTCATTCAGTAACAACATTTCCACTATTTTAGTTGTTGCTACAACCTTGTACCTCTTACTTGTGCTGTGCAAGAGGAACTGATGTTCTGACCAGCTGGTCACAGGCCAAGCTGAAATAAAAAAGGTTGACGCATTCTGGTCAAAACCCCATTTATTGGTGCGTCCCCGAATTATTGCCTCATTTGTTGACATCACACAAAGTCTTGCATTGCTGACAGTCTAGTAAAATTTGTGTTTTCATTTCCAGCCAGGAGCTTCATAATCTTGACCAGATTAAATGTTTTTCTGATTACAGACTTTACTATTGCGAGATTATCTCATATTAGGCTTGTTTTTTTATTTATTTCCCTGTTTTTTCACATAAGGGCTTTTTCCTAAATTACTTTACTTTCTATCCAGTTTTCCCTCATCATTTTCTCCAGTGTAGCTGTCCTTCTGTCTGAAGCTCCTCCCCCCACTGCATCTCTTTGGCTTTATTATGTTGAGCTCTGTTAGACCTCCAGATTCACTATGCAAAGTAAAAGTGATGCTACAAGAAATATTGCAGAGCAGCATTTAGCACATACAAGACTTGCATTGTTGATCTTTGGTTATTTGACTATTTTTTTCTCTTTTCAGTTGCAACAGATAGATAATGTATAATGAAATGTATTTAAAACTTAATTACAAAAAAAACTGGAAAGATTAAAGTTAACTGGTTTACTGGAGGTATGACAAATTGTGTGTTTCATGCCTGTATGTGAAATAAGCCTTGCTATATTAGTGCTTTGCTCATTTTGTTTGTAAAAGCTCTCCGGCTGTCACGCTCTGAGTTTACTTGCCCCTAATTCAACTAATTTGCAGATTTCTGAACCTTTCTGGTTTTCCTTTGTTTATTGTCTTAATAGAAACTTCTGGGCAACTCTCTGCTGAAGCTGGAGGGGGATGACCGCTTGGACATCAACTGCACCCTACCTCTCACAGACCAGGTACAGTAACCACAAAAAAAAAAAAAAAAAAAAGAGGCTTCCTAACCATGTTTGTGGTGAGTCAATTTGCCTGACTACTCCATTTTCCTCACTGCCTGCCTCATCCTCTCCTTCAGATTGTTCTCGTTGGCTCTGAGGAGGGTTTGTACGCTCTCAACGTCATCAAGAACTCTTTGACGCACATCCCTGGACTGACTTCAGTTTTCCAGATCCAGATCCTGAGGGAGCTTGATAAGCTGCTGATGATCACTGGTACGACATTCTCGTTGTATGAGAACTGAGTGAAAGCACTTTCACTGTGAAATGATTGTTTTTACTTAAGAGAAAAGTAACAATCATTCCTACTGCAGCAAAAGTAATACAGCAGTCTGGTTTTAACAGCTATAATGTAATCAGCAACCGTTATTTGATTGGCATTACTTCTCTGGTTAGATTCATATCCAAACTACATGGCCAAATCCTTCTTCCTCCCATAATATATATAAAAGGCATCAAGATGGAAATTGACACAAGTTATGTATAAAAACATTTGTGTGTTTTTATTTTTGTTTGTTTCTTCTTTTTTTTTTTAATAATTAGTTGTTGGAACTAAAGGCATAAAATCCATAAATTTACGTGCTAAACCCCCAATTTATGGGCATTTCCTTGTACGCGTTATAATGCCTGGTGTTGCTGATGTCATTCAGGGGAAGAGAGAGCGCTGTGTTTGGTGGAGATCAAGAAGGTGAAACAGTCTTTGTCACAGTCCCATCTCCCAGCTCAGCCCGACCTCAACCCTTTCATCTTTGAGACAGTGAAGGGATGCCACCTCTTCTCTTCTGGAAAGGTGAGACCATTTGCTGCGTAAACGGAGTCGAGCCCCGGCGGACTGTCACCCAGTCAGCTATCGAGCTGATCTCAACAGGAACAACAGAGCGGCGATTGCAGATATTTACCTCTGTCCTGATTAGAACTGCCCTGTCTTTGCAGATCGATAACGGACTCTGTATCTGTGCTGCGATGCCTAACAAGATTACCATCCTGCGACATAATGAAAGCCTCAACAAGTTCTGCATCAGAAAGGTGAACGGACGGCGTGGGAGATCTGCTCGGTGTGGGAACTTAAAGAGGATGCTGATCCATTCTCCGTTTGCATTCGCAGGAGATTGAGACGTCAGAGCCGTGCAGCTGTATTCACTTCACTGGATACAGCATCATAATTGGCACAAATAAGTTCTACGAGATCGAGATGAAGCAGTATGTGCTGGAAGGTACGCGTCTTAATTTGAGCTGTTATTTCTTTATAACCAGATGGTTTTACACAAAGCTTCACAGCAGAGGAGTTCTGTCACCGCAGCGTTTGAGCGTTCACACCCGAGTGAGCTAAATATCTCTGGGGATTCGTTTCTGCAGAGTTCTTGGATAAAAACGACGCAACGCTGGCTTCGGCCGTCTTCGCTGCGTCCTCCCACAGCTTTCCCATCTCCATCATCCAAGTCACCACAGCCCCACAGAAGGATGAGTACCTGCTCTGTTTCCACGGTTTGACATTTGTTTATTCATTTATGTGGTTTTATATATATATAAAACACAATGCAACATTACCACCAAAGTGGAAAGGCGGTGTTTCCTGTTGGGTCTTTTAACTTATGAACTTTTTGTCTTGCAGAGTTTGGTGTGTTTGTTGATGCATATGGCCGCAGAAGTAGAAGAGACGATATCAAATGGAGCCGTCTGCCTCTCTCATTTGGTAAATGTCAACCAGTTTGAGTGTCTCGTTTGGATGAATTGTAATTGATTTTAAAGGATTAAAAAAAACAGTAATAATGTTGAATGCCATGTTGTTTTTTCCAGCCTATAGAGAGCCCTACCTGTTTGTGACTTACTTCAACTCTTTGGATGTTATTGAAATTCAGGGACATGCTGCTCTTGGGTAAGGGTTTTTTTTTTATTATTATTTTGTTGCCATTTTGATTTTGAAAGATGTTTACGGCTTATTTATTTTTTTATACAGCTTTTGGTAATAAACTTTAATGTATTTTGGAATTGTATATGTTAAACCAACATTATATAGTGCAGAACTCTTAAGTGGAAGCAAAAGTGATGCATAGTTTTCATTTTTTTTAATTTGGCTTTTACAAATTAAAATCTGAAAATTCGTGGAAGCGTCGATTTTATGTGATGGATCAGAAATGAGTTATGTATAAAGGCAGTCTCTTTCTGCCACTAGACAGGAAATTATGGATCTTTTCCCCTGAAAAAAGATGGAGGGGGGGTTCAATCCCCCTTTTTGTTTTAAGACCTAAAAATGAAAATAAAACTGAATTGTAGTTCTTAAATTTCACAGTAAAACACCGTATAGTGTATACTCCAAAACGTCAGGTCTGAGGATCTAATCTATTTAATCTATACAATTTTCTTTTTAGTTCTTTGGATTTCAAATGTTAGTTACAGGGACTGACAAAACATAGTGCACAGCTGTGAAGTAAAAAGAAACTGATTCAATTCTAAAAGAAAAAAATAAATGTTGTAGCTCATTATTACAGTTGTTACAAACGGTGATGGCTGTGGATAGGAATGTAGTGGTCAGTATTACAGCTAACCTGAAGTAGCCTGCGACTGAAGACACAGTCTGATGAGGAGGATCCTCTGGGTCGTCTGTAATGATGTTAAGTTTATGAAGAATCCTTTGCACAGGAGCCCCAGCAGATTATGTGCAGAGTGATCCTCCTTTATCAGCTTGCTAAGCTTTTTTTTAAGTCCCTGGCTCTGATGCTGCTCTCCCATATGAAGATTGGAAAAGGGATCACACACGCCAAAGCAGACTTATAGACGATGTACAGCATCCTGTTATAAACACTGACAGAAGTACAGTCTGCTCTGTCACTTTTTGTAGACTATTTATTTCAATGTTGCATCTTTGGTTCAGTCCAAATGACGCAACATTTAAAATGCATTTACAAATCAAACTTGGAGAACAGCACAAGTTGTGCATATTTTTGCTGTTCTGTAAGAAAAAGTGAGGAAATGCTCCGGTCATTGTTTGAAATAGTTTTTGCTTTCCCTGCTCTTCAGGTCACACTCGTATGCACACTTGGACATCCCAAACCCACGTTACCTTGGCCCAGCCATTTCCTCTGGGGCCATTTACTTGGCCTCATCCTACCAGAACAAACTGCGGGTCATTTGCTGCAAAGGCAACCTGGTGCAGAGTCAAGAAGGCGGAGGAGATCTGCAGCGCAACGGCTCGGGACAGAGGTAAGAGAGCTCGCCTTCACTTATGTCTTTCATTTAGGGACCGCTTTAGTGACACGCCATCCTCTTGAATTTTGGCGTGTTTCTGATGTGCTATCCATTTTCAAAACAGACAGAATATTAAATTCCTGCCTTCAGTTTTCACAAAACACAGAATAAAAGATTAAGAGCTTGTAATATTACAAGGGAGCAACATTCTTGCCCAAAAAAAAAGATGAACAAAAAGATGTAATTTCTTTTTCTTGGCTGTTGAGATTTGATTAACTAGTCATTTAGTTAAAATATATATATATTTTTTTCTCAGCACCTAAAATGTCTTGTTTTAGGTCAGCTTTGCAATATGAAGTTTCCATATTTGTCTGTTTAATTACAGAAAGATATAAACAATGCAGGAACATGCAGCAGCAAAGGACTTTGTAAAATTGTTGTTGAACATTAGTGTCCTTTCCCACGGTGAAACAAGTCCTTTACTGGTGTGAGCTGAAATGCTGCTCAGATAGGCTGAAGCTATTAAAGCAACATCCAAAGCCAGATTCAAGTTTACAAATATGTCCTTTATTCTGATTAAGCTAACATTAAAGGAAAATGTACACTCTTTTTCATTATTTTGGCATTTATCAAGGATGAATAATGTTGGTCCTGCTAGCTGACCTAAAGCAAAGCAAGGCGAGGTTTGGAGCCTTTATGCAGCGTATTTTGATTTCAGCTGCACACGAGGTTCTGTGTGTGGCTCAGAACAAGTTTAGAGCCGTGGGATGTTTCCAGTCACTGGTTCTGGTTCATGTATGTGGTGCTGATGGGTCACTGGGCTTAGCTGGCACAGGTGGCATCCGCACGTGGTGATGCTCCGAATGTTTTAATGAAAAATTTACATTTGTTTTGTTTTGCAGGAAAGGTGGTCCATTTTTTATCTGTCACAGATCATAATTTTTGTATTATTTGTTTTTAAATGATTTGTTGAAATGCCTCATCTCGATAATAAACTTCAAAATAAAAAAATGTTTTTGCTGTTCTTGCGCTGACTGGTGCAAAGCTTCATTAACGCTCCATATTTTGTTGTCAACCGCTAACTTAAATTCAATTCAGCAGCCTAAACGGAGCTGATGGGTTCAGTCGCCTCTAATCACAAACAACAATGCGCTTGTTAGCCGATTCAATTAGCGCTAGCATAAATCCATTCCCCATCACCACGTCCAGACTCTCCCGGTGCCAAGCAGAGCCCAGACTTTAAACCTCCTTCACTTAACGATGCACCATGTCTGTCTTTACACCTGGGTTCCTCCCCGCAGTCCCAATAAGCGTGGGCCGCCCTCCTACAATGAGCACATCTCCAAAAGGCTCGCCGCCAATCCTCTGGTCCACGGCGACCCCGGCACGCCCCACCGCTACAGAGAGGCCCGCACGGAGTTCCGGCGGGACAAGTCTCCGAGCCGCCCGCTGGAGAGAGAAAAGTCCCCCGGCAGGATGCTGGAGAGCCGGATAGTCGGGTCTCCCGGCAGGGCCATGGCTGCTGACCCCAGGCTAGAACGTTCCCCTGGCAGGGCCATGGCTGACCCCCGCATGGACCGCTCCCCCGGCCGGATGATGGACGTTCGAAGGGAGAGGTCACCTGGAAGGTTCGAGGAGCGTCAGAGACTTCATACCGGCTCTGGGCGCACGCCCATAAACCCCGTCAACAAGGTTCGTCAACAGGATAAAGTACATAATGCTATGTAGATTGTTTCTCCTTTTACACGTAATGTGTATTTTAGTGGTTAAGATGCTAAAGCTTGGTGGTGAGGACACTGTTAGTAAATCCATGGTGAAGCAAGTGCATGTTTTCCTAATATTGTGTAGCCCTAGACTGTCACATAAACCCTGAATAAAGCACTTTGAAGTTTGCAGGTGTAATTTTAAAAAAATCAACATCTGCAAGAGTTCTTAAATATTCCAACATTTAAAATGCTAAGACATATTTTTTTGGTCTCCTGCAGGTGTGGGACCAATCATCCGTCTAAGAATCAGCGGAGCCACACGTCCTTCATGGAAGGAGAAACTCATCTTTTTCAAAGAACCAGTGAGAACGTTGCAGACTCGTCCTGAAACACTGCCTATACTTAAGTACCTACACAGAAAACCAACCGTAGCTGTCGGATACTAAAGGTAGTATTAGACAAAACAAAGAGATGTCCTTCAGATTAGGCTATATTTTCAATGAAGAACAAAATGTCATACTGGCCACATAAACCTGGTTTTTATGACGTTTTTAGCACATGTTAATAATTTGCAAAGGAAAAAGCTAAGATGTGGGTTTTTACATCGAGTCTGGACTTGGTTGGTTTTGGTACTTTCAGATACACCTTCACATGCTGCTTACTACAACATAAGCACAGTCATAGAAACCCAACCTTAAAGTCATCCGCAGCCACCAGTGATGAATGGTTTAAACTGGCTAAAATCAACATCATTAAATTCGGCTCCGCTCCTCCTCAAACTCCTTAACTACAGATCAGGGCATGGCCTCCACACACAGTCAGCTAATTACAATCATCTTCAGCTGGTCATCAGTCCACGCCTGACGGGCCGCGGCCGCAAAGCAAGCAGAGAAAAAGTTCAGTATCGCCCTGGATCACTGTTTGCCCTCCTGACGGGTCAACACTAAAAAAAAATAAATAAAAAAATGCACTACCCACAGCCCACACCCCCAGCAGCGATGGAGCAGTACCTTTCTAATCCTTCAGAACACAATCTGAGTGTAAATAGATGAGACATAATTTTATATATATATTCTGAGAGGGAATTTCAAGGCTGGAAAAAGCCGTGTCTATTTTTGTTAAAGAACAAAGTGATAAAATAGTCCTCTTGAATGTCCGATGAGTATTCTTTTAACGCGTCTTTATCAAGTGAGTGATTGTATCTGGATCTGACTCGTGTATGCACTTCCATCTGTCAAAAAGGGAAAAAATCTCAGTACTGAATCATATATGAAGGAATGAAGAACAAAAAAAAAGAAGAAACAATCATGTTTGGAGTTTAAAACCTTAGTACCTGAGCATTTCTTTTTGTACAGTGTTCCTTACTGTTGTATATAAACTGAAAATGTTCAAAGTGAAGATGGAAAAGATTTTTTTTTTGTTTTTGTTTTCTTTCTCTCCTGATTCGTAAACGGCATGGATATGTATATCTGAAACGAAACGGAGTGTTGTCTTCTGCTTCTGCCTCATCGAGTTCCACAACCTTACAAAGCACGTAAATATTAACTACCTTGTGTGAACTATCTGCTCAGTGAAGTCATGTGACGATGACTAAATCCTAGCCTTTTATTATTATTATTTTGAGTTGAGACATCCACATCATTGAGAAGATCAGTAAAATTACCCATCCATGTTGATTCGAAAGACAAATTCATTTCTGAACATCGGTTTTCAGTCATGGTTCTTGAATGTAAGCAGATGAGATACCTCACTTTGACTTCTCCAGTTTTTCCTTCTCGGCAGTAAGGCGCTCAGTTTGAAGTTATTTCTGGAATTTCTTTAAACTCCTTTATGAACTTTACCCTTCCTTCCTGAATGTATTAAAAGTCAAGAAGATGGAGCTGATTTTACCAGTGTTTAACAAAATGCAACAGATTGCACACATTTTCAGCTGGTCTCTGCAGGACTCTGTACAAAAGGGTTGCCCGCATATTTTAATTTTTATTTTTCTATTTCATCGTCTTTATGCTTTACATATTCCGGATCATAATGCTCTTATGCTGGATATGATATTGATGTCTGCTAACAAATGTTTAATTAGCATTTCCTGTAGAGATTTTGTCACAGAATATTAAGTATTATAACCATTGTCTTTCACTTATGATTTGCATTGTTGTTTTTTTGTGTGTGTTTTGCTGTCATAAATTGCAGGAAAACAACTTGGCTCTTCTCCTTTACAGTCACACTACAAGCCTAAAGTTTGGAAACTTCAGATTTGTACAAAAATGTCCAACTTTGATTGGTTTACTTGGGTTCAAATAAACAATTAATACATCAAAAATAAATCTTACTATATATTTTTTTCTTTTACATTTTTTTTTACTGCTTGGGACTTTTCCTGTTTGATAAATGTTTGTTAAATTGTGCATATCGGTGGAAACGGTCTGATCATAACTTGAAGTTACTTCATAGCTTTTGGTCTGTAGTGTGCTTGAGTAAATTAGAATATCATCTGAAATTAGTTTAATTCAGTAATTTGTTCACAAAGCAAACTCTCAGTATCAAACAGCATTCTTTAATGTTGATCAGTATTTCACAAAATTTGAATAAAACAAAGTTTAAAAGAATGTCTAATACATTAAAGTTATGGCGTACTCAGTCCTGAGGATCTGACTTGACTAGCTGACGATCTTTACCCACAGAAGGTCACAGTTATCGATGGTGGATGTTCTGTGTACGGTTTCCAGGTATATTAATGGAAAGTCGAGTGGAAAGAAAAAAAGAGAAGCATGCACAACAAGGATAACTTTTGCGCACGATAACCCTCCTAGAACTTGATTCTGTGAATCAAGTTGCTTGAGCTCCAAAGTGAGCTCAGCTACCTACCAGGAAAAGTTGAGAACAGTTCATGCTTCCCTCTGTCATATTTCATTTTTTAGTACAACTTGGCGCCTTGATTGGCCAGCAACCTTTAAAGCGTCTACTGATATTGATGTGGACAACCATAAGATGACTGGTTCTATGCCAACCTGCACTGATGCAGTAAATCTTCCAAATCTAAACGGTAAGGAAATACTTTGCAGTAGGTTAAAATTTGCTTAAAATATGCCATTTTATAGAAATCTGACTTTCACTTTTTGAACTGACATGAAAATGTACTTTTCAATTATATTTAGATTTTAGATTTACCTATGCGTTTCTAAAGAAGACCAAAGTGTCCCACAGCAGGAGCCGTTTTCCTCGTCACTCCTGCTTTCCAGACTCTTGAAGACAGCCGGTGAAAAGGCCATTTTGTCCAGGCCCATTGTGCTCCAGAGGCTGCTCTATTTTTAGGTGTTCAGCATTCAGTCGATGTGACAATGGCTTGCCATTTCGGCCCCGGTGGCTGCAGCGGCTGCTCGGATCCAAGAGGGGCACAGAAGGAGAGTTTTAACGACCCCGTGTGTCTCTTTGGTTAACAATAACTTGCCTAAATCCGACCTCCTTGTATGCGCCACGCTGTGAGATGATACTGCTTGGCAGCTGCTAGGAGGTTCATCCACACAAGCGTGTACGCGACAGTGGGAGGCCCGGGTGCGTGGAAGGCCTTTCAGCGCCTCGCCTTATATAGACGAAACACCTGTGGCCTCACCTCCTAACCCCGGCCCGCTTAGCTCATTTTCACACACTGACGCTTTTCTTGACCGGCGGAGCCTCAAGTGACACCGGATGACTCGCTAATGATGCATTGAGACGTGGCACATTGTAAGGACGTGTTCAGTGTCGACTGTGTCGCACTTCAGTATGTCGCGCCTGCTGCCGATGACATCCTCAGAGCTTTGTTTCAAATGCTCTGCTATGCTAACAACAACGCTCCTTAGATGAAGCTTGGCTTCCCCTTAAGAGATTGGATCATATTTCTTTTGAGTGTATCTTTCTGTATTTTTCTTATTGCTTTTTTTGCTCTTTATTGGCATGTTAAAATAGATGCTCATCATTGGGCATCTTTGTCATTTTGCTTGCTTTTCGTCTACTTGAGGTTCAAAATTTGATGGTTTGTGCCAGAATATACCGGCCTGTCATCATTTCACCATAGTTGGTGCCTTTTCTGATGTCATCAACCCAAATATTCACAAATTGACTGTACAATTAGAAGAATTGTACAGTTTTTAGTGTGATTTGAAAATCCCCAACAAAAACTACTACCTGGCTGCGTTTTTACTGTCTGTTTGGAAATGAAAACAAAATAAATCACTCCATAGTTTCTTTAATGACTGAATCACAGCAGCTGCATTCAGGTTGTAGTAAGCAAATGTGTCACACTATTTACATGACTGTGTTAGGGGAGAGAGTTAAGCCAACACCAGTGATGTGAAGAAGCTGGTGTGAAATGTGAGCAAGTTTGGCTCTAACTCAGTCCTGACAGCTCAGTAAATTACGTGTAATGACCTGGTAAAGCTCATCCCTTTGTCCAAAGGGAACAAAAATGATTGGTGCTTGTATCAGTCTATCAAATTAAGAGTTTATTATGATGTTGTTGGTGAGAGTCTGAATTCATAAGGGCTAATTTCCAGCCTTCACCAGGCTGAAAGTTGTCAGAGCTTTAATAAGTGTAAATCTTTGAAACGTAGATTCTCAGACACGTTTTGCTGTGAACCTTTTCCCCCCCACCTATGGAATGTAGCTCGTTGTTTTCTGACACACTGTCCAAACTAATGAGCTTTTTGAAGAAAATGTATTCAGGACAAGCTCTTAAAGTCGATGACGTAGCATAGAAACATTTAAAAAGTTCTGTTTAAGAATCAGATAGCCTCATGCAGCAAAACGAGAGCGTCGCTGTCTGATCGATGGCAGAAACGTATAAATGTAGCAGCGCCGCACTTTAACACATGAGGTTGAAGTCTAGTCACAGCAGTTTTAATTTTAAGTCTCAGACCTGTGGCACAACTCTCACTGTGAGTACTAAGAAGACATTTTAGTGTCAATTACTTACAGATGTAGACAAGCAGATGTACTGTGATGTAGTTATTGTATGTTGGCAGTAAGTGTCTGGTAGTTATTTTGGTTTGATCAGGGTTTCTGATTACCACAAACAAGGATCTGAACCAAAATGAATAAAAATAGGAAATATAATGATTTTAATGAAAGATCTACAAGTTGATTTTTAGGTGAATTTTATCTAAATATACACTGCTCAAAAAAATAAAGGGAACACTCAAATAACACATCCTAGATCTGAATGAATGAAATATTCTCATTGAATACTTTGTTCTGTACAAAGTTGAATGTGCTGACAATAAAATCACACAAAAATCATCAATGGAAATCAAATTTATTAACCAATGGAGGCCTGGATTTGGAGCCACACACAAAATTAAAGTGAAATGTTCCCTTTATTTTTTTGAGCAGTATATATATCCATCACTCATAAAAAATATATCTAACTATGACGAATACACTTATGCAATGGAAATGTGCTATTGGTATTTGGTATTAGGTCTTGACTTGGACAAATAAAGCGAAATTTTAGGTTGGACCAAAAAAAAAAATTGTCATGAAGTCAAGTGTTTTGATTAAAATAATATTGCTCACTTATCTTTTCATGCATTCAGTGGAGGTTTGACTGCTTCCTGTCCACCTCTGCTGTAGTTTACGCAGAAAGAGACCGAACCGGATCATAAACGCTACAGCAGGTTTCATCCTATCCAACCTTCAGACAAAAAAAATGCTCAAGCGTGTCAACCTTCAGCCTGCTCTTGTTGCTGTAGACTGGTTCCTCCAGCCTCTTTGTCCTGTGTCGATCAAGACGACACAGAGAGATGCCCGTCATGTCAGAGCTGTGTTTTTCCTCTGAGAGCCCCGCAGCACTATAAGTGTTGTATAAAGCGTCATTTACCTGTCACTTCCTAAAGAGGACATAGTTTATAAATATCATCCAGTGGAGCTGTGGCTCGGGGACTACAAAAAGGCCACCCACAATCGCCCCCATTGTTCACTGGCATCATTGTCGGTCTGACATCCCAGCTGCTCGGCCATGGTAAGTCGGCATGTGTGACATGTTTGTTACTGTAAGGACAGGTGTGTTTTCTTGGCTCCGGAGGAGCTGCTGTCAGAGTGGACAGCTGATGGCGAATAACTCTGTTACATTGCGGAATAAATTTTGTCCTTTCGTTCATAATCTGAACACCGGCCATCAAGTGGAAGTGTGTAAAATGTGCTTGTTTACATCCTTAAAGCGACACTTTTTAGCTGATTAAGGTGCTGTATTTAAAAGCATCTAGTTTATGGTTGTTGTTTTTTTTTTTATTCATGCCAAAAGGCCCCCAAGAAAGCCAAGAAGAGGGCGGCGGAGGGAGCCAACTCCAATGTGTTCTCCATGTTCGAGCAGGCCCAGATCCAGGAATTCAAAGAGGTGAGCGCGGCTCGGAATGATTCAGTTCCCTCTGAAACCCAAACGTCTCTGCGCGGCCTGAGTACAGTTCACACACACACACACACACACACCGAGGGCTCCGGCTACTTTCCCTCCTTGTCCATTTCTATTGTTCCCGGCCTCAGTATGGCCACCTGTCTATTTTCATGCCTCGGGCAACAGCGGAGCTCGCGGTATGTCGGTATGAAGGTCGGCGGTGCCCAAACATTCAGACGGTGTCATCAGCGATTAGGCCGCAGATGAACGGCTGCGCGCGCCCCGGATGCCGCACGCGATCCTAAGGGGGTTTACAAGTTATAAATACTTAAGTCTTCATCTGTGAATGCAGTTCTGAGAAAAAAAAAATAAGCATTTAGATTTAGAGTTTAAGCATTACTGTTACAGAGATGGCTTGAAACAATCGCTTTAAAAGAAAAAAATAAAGTAATGGAGCTTTCTCTCTGCTCTGATCTCAGGCCTTCACAATCATGGACCAGAACAGAGACGGCTTCATTGACAAGAACGATCTGAGGGACACCTTCGCTGCTCTTGGTATGTCGACATGCATGTTCAAGGACCGTAGGGACGTCGGTCTTCAAGTGCCGACGATCCGCCTGCTCATTATGTAGCGCGTTTGCTCCCAAAGGACGTCTGAATGTGAAGCAGGAAGAGATCGACGACATGCTCAAAGAGGCTCCTGGTCCCATCAACTTCACAGTCTTCCTCACAATGTTTGGTGAGAAGCTGAAAGGTAAGAACATAAGCAGCGGTTAAGCTACTCCGAGTTATCTCTCTGTGCTAAATATGCGCTGCAGAAGTGGGATGGAAACCATTTCCAGTCAGAGTAATTCTGATATAAAAGTAAAGCGGCTTTAAAAAAAAATAAATAAATAAATAAAAGTTACCAGTGACGCGTAGTCTGTTGCTTAAGAAGATTTTTCCAACTGCAGTCAAAGCAGAGGATGTTAACATCTCCACATCCTGGCTTCAGAATTACACCACATGCATAAAGCTGATGCTGTTCACACTGCATCAGGCTCCAACGTGGACCATCATGTTGGAAAAACAAACCAGACGTTACAAAGTCACTCCTACAGGGTCTTTTATGAGTGCAGAAATTATATTTTGGCATCACACAAAAACAAAATTGCTTCACTGATTGACTGCTTTGGTTCAAGAGCCTAATAGTTGTAGGAGGAAAACTTAAGCAGCAGTAGTGCTGTCCTTATCAGGGCCTGCTGTTATTTTTTACAGATATTTTTTATTTCTCCACCTTTTCGACACCACTGACGTTGCTTCTCTGCTTCAGTTAAAAACCCCACAATCCTGCACAAGATGGCCAACCCTGGAACACATAAACGGCTAAGATGGAAATTAATATCTGCCATTAATATTAGTCCAGTTTTAGCAATATGTAAAAAAAAAAAAAAAAAAAAATGTACCAACATCAGCCGAAAGATGTTCATGCTGTGACACATCATGAATCTTATAGCAGTGAAATAGGAGCTCATTCCAGACATACTGACATACTTCACTAACTGCAAGAAGAGCAACTAAATAGTCATTAAAAGTAAGTGTGTTTGAAGAATGGTGATGGCTGCTTTAATGACTCCAGGTGCGGATCCAGAGGAGACCATCCTCAATGCGTTTAAAGTCTTCGACCCCGAGGGAAACGGCATACTGAAGAAAGACTAGTAAGTGTCAGGAGGACGCACGCCTAACTCCACACGAAGTTTGCAAATTCATTGAAAGCAACGCTGCGTTCGCTTCCTGTCACTGTTTATGATGCTCTGGCTGCAGTTGTTCATCCCAATTCACAGAGTGTCGCTCTGAAGACTCTTTTTTTTTTTTCTTCCTTCTCTTTCCAGCGTGACACAGATGCTAACGACGCAGGCCGACCGATTCTCCTCTGAAGAGGTACATTGTGGAGTTTTACGCTAATTGTCGCCATTATTGCTGATTACTGGGTGCGAGTGGGTGACTCTGAAAAAGAATGGACGTCATTACATTTTCTTCCAGAATAATAATTACAAAAAAAAAAAAAATCAAGAAATGGTGGTGAATCATCCCAGCTTTTGATGCAGATTGAGTGATGAGGCGTTCTCGTGTGTTTCGCCGGTTAGATGGAGCAGATGTTTACCGCCTTCCCCCCTGATGTGGCTGGAAACCTGGACTACAAGAACCTGGTGCACATCATTACTCACGGAGAGGAAAAAGACCAAGAGTGAACCTTTTTCATCATGTTTTTTTTTTTTTTTTAAGCAACTCTATAGGCTAAAAGTGAGAAATGCAAGCTTTTTGCTTATGTTAACTTCATTGTTTCTGTACAGTCAGACTAAAAAAAACAAAAAAAACGATGCTTCCAAACTATTTTTCTCAAAACAAAAACAAATACAGACAGCTAAGAGTTTAATTGCAACAAAATGTTTTTGTTCTGTTTTATTTCTGGTATATTTTTGAGACTAATTATCATATTTTTATCCTAATTTTGTAGACCAAAAGCTACTATTGTCTGTTTTTACAGTGCCTTCAAACTTATTCGCATCCCTTGAGCTTTTCCACCATTTGCCTTGTTCCCCACTACAAACGTCAGTTTTGATGGCATGCCAACACAATCGTGCATAATAGTGCAAACAGAAGGAAAATTATGCACGTTTTCAAAGTTTTAAAAAAAATAAAAATCTGAAAAGTGTGTCATGCATTTTCAGTTCACCCTTTACTTTGACACCCCTGAGTTCGAACAGCTTCCTTCAGAAGCCTCCTAATGATTTAGCATGAACATACCAAACTCCACTGTGGCGAACGGTAGTGGCAGCATCATGCAGTAGAGATGCTTTTCCTGAGCTTGGGTAAAGAATGGCATTAATTACCAAAAATTATTAATGTTTGTTGTTGTTACTTGGCCAAAAAAAAAGTGGACAAGTTTAAGGGATGTGCGTACTTTAGCAAAGCACTAAATGAAGTGTATGCATGTAAAAAAAGAATAAACATAGTTACAAACAGGCTGCTACCTGAGTTTAACACCTGTGCTTCATAAATAACTACACCAGAAGCTTCTGTTACTGACAGATTTAGAAGTGAACTTGGGAATAGCAGCTTTTCTATTCATCTTAAATCCCAGAGAGCTGAATCCAGGGACCACACTTGGAATTAGAGATGTACAGTGTGGAAATGTATGGCACAGTGGGCTCTTAGTAATATGTGACTGCTGAAACACACGACTTCACTCGCAAAAAAAGGCTTGTTGTTACTTTGGAGTCGAGCTGCTGCGACGACTTTAAGCTCACGAACGGATGATGCCGTCTTCATCAATAGAAGCAGTAAAAGTGAGGTTAGATCTGAATACATAACATTGAAATTTGTTTTCATCTGTGTACTTATAATAATGTGGTCAAAAATCCCCTCATGCCTTAGGAAAATATCAATAAACAAATCAGATTTACAGGTACACCGACTGAAATTATATGACATGAGCAAGTGGGAACAGAAAACATCAAAACACTTTAATATCTAATTAAATGTATCTAATAACTTGTAGTACCCGTAGTAAACCTGTGAACATAACTGTCTACATTAATTAAATAAACAATACTACAACAACTGCTTCTCAGAAAAACCATTATTTACTGTGCTGATGGTGCAACTAGAGGTCGGTATTGACGTCTAATGCAGTCCCTAAGTGGACTTGGTGTTCATCCATGAGAAATAATGGATGGGTTTATTGTTAGAAGCTCCTGTTTGAGCAGAGTGAGTCTATTTAATGGCAGTTTGTTGGAGTTACCCAGAAAACTTTTTTTTTTTTTTACCACGTTCCACCTGCTGTGAATGAGGAACCTTTGCTTGTGGTGGTTTTGGTTGAGACTCTAGTAATTAGTTAAAATAAATGATTCAATGAGACAGAATTTGAAAGTACGTCCAGCATCTTCTCAGCTTGATTTTGCTTTGCTCCATCTTGCAAAGAACGTTGTTTCCATTCTTTATTTTAATCTGTTAGACGTTTCCAAGCATCAAGCACACGGTAAGGCACGGCGTGATTATTTTACAACTGCTGCACTGCCACCTGGTGGCTACATGCATTAGTGCATCACTCCTGTGGGAGAGCAAAAGTCCTGCTATTCTCTCTTCACTTGGTTTGCTTCTGGCTTAATGATTCTGATGCCGAGTTTTATGAGCTCTGTCACAATAAATGCTGTTTACACGGTATTAAACAGGAAATTCATGCACATGACCACTATTGGTTTGTGGTTTCAATCTATGTCTAAATTTAGAGATGTGATCTATTCAAAAATCAAAACATAACTTTACAGCCATTAATTCAACTGGTGTTTTGTTCAATGTTGCAGGGCTTCACAAGCCCAGAAGAAACTGTCCAAACAGAAACGGTATTTATTTACTTACAATTTTGAATGTGGAAAAAAAAAACCACATTTCTACTTTTTGCTTAGAAATCTGTCAGAAAGCTACACTGCACAGAGTATTCCCTGCAACCTTTTAGGTGCCGCCTCTACATCCCCTTGAGCATCGGATGAGGGAAGATCCAGATTCATTGCTTTAAGGAGAAGTAACTGAAGGTTATGCTGAGTTTCCTTTCTTAAGCACATCTTCTCATTAAAAGAAGTAGATCATGAATTATTGGGTTTCACCAACTATTTAAAAAGTTTTGTTTTTTTCAGCTTACTTCAAGCAGCACACGTTCAAAATCTGGGTTACCTTTTATGCAGGAGTAACTTATGGAGTATGCTGTCAGAACATCAGTAATAGTTGACTCTGAATCTGTTCTGCACCTCCAAGCCCCATATATTCCCCACACACAACTTACTTCAAATAGTCTTAATTTCTTTCTCATTTTAGTTGAAAATACATTAAATTATACCTGCACAAGCCCCCTCAACCAAAAGACGAGTTGTTATATATTTGCTCATTTAGAAACTTCTCAAAAGGAAAGTGCAGAAAAGGAAGATTGAGGTTGGAGACTGAACTTCTTGCTCTCCCACAAAGCAAACCTCAAGGGACATTTCTGTTCATATCTCTAACTCAACAACTTAGAAATGTCAACTTCTGATTAAAGATGCAGGAAATGTGTAAAAATAAATGTGCTCTGATCAGATGAGATAAAAATGTAAATTTTTGGACCACACAGAAAATACTATGTGGGCAAAACTAGCACTACATAAAACACCATGCTGCGAAACGAGGGAATGATTTTCTTATGTGAGGAAAGAAAAACTGGGACATGTTCACGGGGAGATGCTAAGCTAAATACCAATGTCAGTACAACAATAGTAGGATGCTAAAATGGTCCAGTCAAAGTCCAGACCAAAATCAAACTGAGAGTCTGTTGCAAAACTTAACATATGATGTTTTACATAATGCCTGACTGAACCTGAATTATTCTGTGGAGGATGTTGAGGAAAAAAATAGTGTGTTTGAAAAACCCAAACGACTTACAGCTGTATTTGCACCAAAAAGTGGCTTTACAAACTTACATTTATAAAGTATTTCATTATGACATTAGAATAAAAGGGGCTGAATACATCAGCGAGATTCTAAACCCAGTATCCGCTGCCTTTCACCTCATATTTTATGTTGAGTTTATCACATAAAATATTGTTAAAATGTACCGACGTTTGTGATTCTAACGTGATAAAATGTGAAACCTCCATGAATGATGAATAACAAGCACCGCATACCTCACTCTTGATGCGAGTACCTCTCTGCGCCCCTAGATGCCGCTGTTCCCTCTGCGTTGTGTCTGCAGGAGCAGCAGGAGGGCTGGATGTGGACTGTAGAGGACTCCTGCGGTGTGTGTGTTTGTGTGTGGAGGGGGGTGCAGCCGGTTGTGTATGCGTGAGTGTGTGTGTGTGTGTGTGTTTTTGAGTCTGCTGGAGGCTCGTCGAGCAGCACCAGGAGGAGGAGGAGCAAGAGGACTTGAAAACTTCACTGCGTCCAGCTGGAGAAATTTTCATCCGGGGAGATTTCTGCGTCTGTCGGAGCCGAGTCGGCACCTTTGTAGTCCAGCTGTGTCCGTCAGAGAGAGGGACCGGTCCGGTTCTCACCGCTGGAACCATTTCCGGCGTCCAACATGGATGATTTAGGTAAGTTATTTCGGCGAGAAGGCAACATTAAAGCAGCGCGTGCGCCTACGTGGGCAAACGGGCACAAAGCTGAGAATATTGGGGCTTTTTTTAACCCCCAGGAAGTCTGCTAATGAGGTTGTTGTCGCATTCATTGGTCCTTCTGGGTTAAATTAAAGCAGCGCAGGCAGACGGGAGAAAGCAGAACGCGTGGACACCGGGTTTCTCATCATTAACTATACGGTGTTTATAAGCTGGAAGGTTTGTGGGGACACTGGTGACCGTGCTGCTGCTGTGGGAAAGTTAATATGTTAGTCTGGTGTTGGTTTTCCTCAACTTATTTATCCTCAGACCAACATGTGATATAATCATTCTAATAGGAGAGTAACCCGATAAGACCTGGTGGTCGTCATTGATAGAAATCCGTGCTGCTGGTTGGATAACGTTGATTTCTGCTGAAAATATTGTCGTGGGCAGACAGATGAACCCAGGCGAGCTCAGTAAGACGTACACTTTGTTACAACTTTAAATGCAAACCCTGAGGGGACAGGTTGCGGTGACAGGGAGGCTCAGCGGAATACTCTATCATCCACCTCTCTTCCCCTTTTTGCTGTCGCTTATCTTCTTGCTGTAGTTTGACAAAACATATTTCTCAAATAAAACTCACCGTTTCATTTTCATTTACATCCCTGCCACTTAAGCATTGCCTTGTGAACGCTCACATCATTTAAACTTTTTTTTTTCACATTTTGTCTGGTTATGAAGATACACTTCAATGTATTTGGGGGGCAGGAGAGATTTTACATCTACAAGCGTGGTGAGGGTTTTAATTTAGTCCGTCTGAATCAATTTGTGCATGTTTCGCAGTTTACCTTTATTTAGCTCCGGCCATCAACTCTGAACTGCTTCCCAAATTGAAGAAAATGATCCCCCTGTCATGATGCCACCGTCACTGTGTTTCACTAAGGGGAAGGCATTTACATGCAAGCCAGAAAGTTCAGTTATTTTTTTATGTATATAGTTATCAGAGTAACTCAGGCTAACAACATTCGCACTCCCACCTACTGTCACTTTGTCATTTTACAACCAGGTGTGAAGTAGGTGGTTATAAGGTGACTGGATGACACATTTTTCCAAATACTTTTGGAAAACAGGCCTACTGTATTAGTGTAAATTTAAACAAAACCAAACCATCCCACACACAGTTCCCTCGTCACTGGAACAGTTTTTGCCCCCTGGTGACTGGTAGGATAAGTTTAGCAGGACATCCGTGAAATGCATTTCAGGACTCGAGTTCATGTGCTAAAAAAACACCCGAATGTGTTTGTGAAGTCAAAGATGATGAATGTGTCAAAAGCTGTCCAAGAAATGCTATGCCCTCCACCCCCGCTGTGAGCTGTAGGTGGAGTTTCTATTAAACAACAGACACTTGTGTTAAAGAGGGAGTTCAGGAGTTTTAAAATGAGGCTCTGTTGAAAGATTCACATTAAGTGTCTTATCTGGAGTCAATAACTCCAATGGCTTTGTCATTTGGCATAAAAACAAATTAGTTGAAGGTAATAGCTGGTCTGAGAGAAGCCAAAGTGGTCTTCTGCCATTTTAAAATGACTCTGATCTAAAAGAAAATCGATAGCTTTTACTTTTTATATGTAAATATAAATATATAAACTGTTAAATCATTGTCACTTGCTGTGGACGGCAGCTTACAGAGAAGCTGATGATCTAAACAGGAAATGGAGGTAGAACACTGGGTTTTACCAATGACGCTGCTGTGCGAAATATATTTGTGGTCTGAGTAACCAGCTGATGAAAATAAGCTAGGCTGTGGAAAAAAAATCAGATACGTTCTGTTAGTTTTTTTTTTTTTTACCTTTTTACTCCAGTTTACTTTTACGTCTGACAGTAAATCTGGTCGCATGTTTCAGGGAGTTTGTATAAAGGGGGAATATATCCTGACTAACAGCTTGCCCAACGGTGACCCACATGAGCTTATTTTAACAATTTAAAACAACTCAAACCAAAATGTATTACATCTGCCTGATTCAACGCTGTACTGGTGGAGAATAAGCATCAGCGCTTTCACAAAAGACGGATATGATAGTTTTTTGTTTTTGTTTTATCAGCTGAACAACATCACTACATTGGGTAAAGAGGAGTGGCCTGACTTTAGCAGTCAACTGAGATCTTTTACAGACAATTGCAAGATCTGATAAAACCCAAAAATAGCCGGTCACTAAATTAAAAAAACATCTAAATTAAGAAGTAAAGACTCTCGTGAAAGTGTATAAGATTAATATCCCATGAAGATAATAATTTTCTGTTTTAGTGGTTGGTGTGTTTTTTTTTTTAAATTACGATAAAAAGGCAAATAATATCTTCACATTCTTTATTAGTCTGGTTTTTGTCAAGCTGCCCATTAGCTTTAGCCTTCACCTTATCGAACTAGCTATTACCATTAGCCTTCACCTTATCGAGCTAGCTACTAGTATTAGCCTTCACCTTATCGAATTAGCTGTTAGCTTTAGCCTTCACCTTATCAAGCTAGCTATTAGCCTTAGCCTTCACCTTATTGAGCTAGCTGTTAGCCTTAGCTCCCAGAAGAAGTGCTTTGGTTTAGAAATTTTAAGGAAAAGCTCAGTTTTTGGAGCTAAAACTTATTCCCCTGGTGGATATCTTGTCATTGGTGGGAGTGAGAGTGAAGCAGGGTCGTTGGCTAGTCTATATCCAGTCAGTATTTATGGGCATCATCTCGGCTTACAGCTGGTACAGGGCTCTCCTTAAAGTAGCTGCTTCAAAAATATGTGTTACACAATCCAGTGTAATTACCATGTCACAGGGCTGTAAATTCTGTCATCGGTTTAGGAACCAGGCAGAAATGTGGCACACAAACAGAAGCGTACTCAAGTGGTCCATGCTCTTTCATTGTGAATAATATCAAAGCCGTAGAGGGGTCTGCTGGTTTTGTTATGTTTTTTTTAATCTGGTTTGGAGAGTTGGATGAAAGCACATCCACCGTGGAGTGCTTTCATCCACGGTGATGAGGCACCATGGAGATCCATCAGCACAACCTGCTCCTATTTTTAAACCTATATCCCTGCATCTTAAGAGCTGAGCCAGCAGCACCTAGAAACCTGCCACCAGGTCTTCCCCCAGCCTGTTCCCCACTTTCCATCACTTTGTCTTCCTACTTCCCATATCCTCCCAGCAGCTCTAATGAAAGTCGAGATTCTAACACTGAAAGCTCTTTTCCCAGCCTCAGTTTTACCCTTTATTTTTTTTATTTTTTTGCAGAGGAGGTCCTACAGGCAGGGTTTTGGGAGAGAATGGATCTTAGCCAACATTTATCTGCCTTTAACGCTATACAATGCCCCACCCTCTCTTTTCCCACTCCCCACCATTCCTGTGGTTACGCCGCGCAGGAAACCGAAGCCCTGCGATCTATCGACGGTCCAAAGGAGAGATAAGTCTTTATTGTGCGAATCGGATGCAGGCGGATTGAAAAGGGTGCACGAAAAGCTTTGTTTTAGTACGCCAGGTGTGCGTTTATCTGCATTTTGCATCGTCCTTGCCGGTTCTTGCCGCTCAGAAACCGAGGCTCGCTCTCAGGCAAACTTTTATTGACCCCCCCGCTCCCCACCCTCCTCCGCCCTCTTCTCCTCAGTTATCAGCACCGCCAAGCGCTGCTTCTTGCTTCACCGCTCCGGGCCTGCACCGACAAGACATGAATGTCAACGAGCCCCCCTGAAGTTAACTTTATTTTATTGACTTTGATGATCTGCGGCATTTTATTGCTTGCTTTTTATATGCGCCTGCGAATACAGTAACCTCGTATCGCTCTCTCTCTGTCTCCCTCCCTCTCTCTCTGTCTCTCTGATGCCACTTTGGTGACATCGTGAGCTAAGAGGCTTGTCAGCACAGCGGCTTCAGCGTTAGAAATGTCACTCAAGTTGCGGGAGTGAGGAGAAGAGTTCTTTACCAGAGGAGATCTGGAGTAACCCAGATACTCGGATGGGTCTAAATTTAGTTTGTATTGTTGTTTGCAGACCGACGGAAACATCAAAAGCTTTTCTTCTTTTGTGCTACACTCGGCATCAAGCTGCAAGTCGCATCAAATTTCTGCATGAGGGCATTTTCTTGTTTTTAAGTTTCTTCCCACAATACAGATTTGCTTGCATTTGGGTTTTATAGTATCCTGAGTTATCACTGTAGTATTTAGCGTTGTTTTATGAATGGTCTGAACTCATGTCTGTCCCTGAAGCCGATGGAAGGAGCTTAGATGAAGCAATCTGATGCCAGTGTGCTACCATCACCCATCCTATACTGCAGAGTGAACATGATGCTGTGCAGTACACTGAGGTACAAGAGAGGGTTTTTTTTTTATCTTTGGTTCTTCTACAGCTGACACTTCGCTTTTGCAGCTAAATAAGCATCAAGTTTCTGTCCATCTCTTTGTTTGTTGTGAAGAAATTCTACAAACGGTTTAAAATTCAGCTTGTGGCCAAATAAGATGACAGCCTATCTTCTACATTAGTGCTTTCTAAACCTTCCAGCTTCTGATCCACAAAATAAAAATCAAAGGTCATGACTCCAACTCTTGGTTAAGCACACACACTTTTTTTTTTTTTACTTTTTTACACACAAGCAGCATCAACAGCTAATTTATTGATACCTTTTATTTATTTTCAAGTATCCTTCTTATAAAGATCTTTTACAGTATTTCTAAAATGCATATATTTTCTCATTGTCACTGTTTTGCATGTGGATTCATTTCCGAAAAGGAACTTCTAGTTTTTCTCAAATAAACTATTAATCTTCCTGTCATAGGACACATGTTGCTCGTACTTACATGCGATGCAGCTGGTCAACAGCCGGATGTGTTTTACCCCGGGTTTTTATCTCGGGTGTGAAATCAAAGTTTATCAGATCACTGTAGGATGTTGTATTCCCTCAGTAACAACATTTACATTGAAGAGTGTTTTGGCAAAGGACCGTTCGCAGATCGGAGAAAACTTTCCCGTTTC